CTTTCAGATGTTTGAATTTGTCTACTCAATAATGTACGTATTTATGAACTATCTTTTTAAAGCAAAGAATATTATTACCATCATTTCCAAAGTCACATTCTCATCAAGCTTCTCAGGCTTGGCTAACATTGGAGGAAACTGAAGTATAATTTCTTTGGCTATATTTCATAACTGAATTTGACTCTAAGTAAAATGTGCTGGAATTTATATCACAGAACAGTAGGCAAAATCCTAATGTGTATTTTTATACTTACTTTAGAATTAACATTTCATTCTGGGGGATGAAAGCCAGGCCCAGCTTTGGGAAAAACAGGTTTCCAAGAGTGTCACATTATGCCTGGACGTGTAAATATCTTTCACAAATACCATAAAATAAATCATGATAATTAGAAATGAAACTGTTAAGCAGTTTTTAATATGTTCATGAATTTGTGGTTTCAAAAAAACTACTTAGCTTTCTGCCTAGAAACAGAGGGGGTGTTGTGTTTGTAGGATAATTTATCCTTCAGGTTGATGTTTATTATTATTATTATTATTATTATTTTCTGGTCTTTTTGTGACAGGGTTTTCCTGTAGCCCCAGCTGGCCTGTAACTTGCTATGTAGACCAGGTGGGCCTTGAACTCATGGAGATCTGCCTGCTTCTGCTGGGATTAAAGGCATGCTCCACCACGCCCAGCATTTATTAATTTTTTAAGGCAAATTTTTTATGGATAAATGTTCTTATGAACATACAGTGGTAAGGGGGCTAGAGAGATAGCTCAGTGGTTAAGAGCACTTCCTGCTCTTGCATAGGACTCAGATTTGGTTCCCAGCACTCACATGGCATCTTACAACCCTATATAACTCCAGTTCCAGGGGATACAGCACCATGTCTGGCCTTTGCTTATACCGCATGCATGTGGTGCACTTGCATATATGCCAGCAAAACAGTCATACACATAAAATAAAAATGAATAAATTAAAAAAAATTAAAATCCAGTAATAAGAAGATAAACTTTCAGCTCTGTTACTGTAAGCCAGAGTGTATTCTCATTACAACTACCACTGTGTGATCATACAGGAGATCCTCATAGTTGGTGAGCACCTTCTTCATGGCTTACTACATCAGTGAAATGGTAAAATGTAGAGCTTCTAGAAAGTTCTATGAAGTAGAAGCATCTGGAATATGCCTTCCTTTTCCCAATAGCTAGTGGGATATGGAGAGGAAAAGAAGACATTAGAATAATGTGTTTCTGTATCCACTGGTAAGAATAATCCGTAACATTTATATTGAAATTGTGCAAAGTATGTTACCAAATAGTGTATCTGTCCTCTGCATTTTAGACAAAATAGAGAAATTATTGGCCTGTGCCTGAGGCTTTCCAGTGTCATGGCTTAAACACTGTTATACATGGACTTTAAATTATCAGCTGCATGTTCATAAATGGGTTAATATAATTAGTTGGCCAAGACCGAGGAGAGATTACCTTTATTCAAAACTGTAAGGACAGGAAAGGCTATCCTGAGCTCTGATAGAGAATGTGAGTGAATGTTGTGTTTAATGAAATGTTAACACAGTAGAAACTTTCATGTTAATAGGCTTATTATTAAAGTATAGAGCTTTTTTAACATTTGTTCATCATTTATTTATATATGTATGTGCCTGTGTGGGTTTGTGCCCGTGGAGGCCAGAAAAGGGCATCAGATCCCCTGGAACAGGTGATTGTGAGCAGATGAGTGTGTGTGCTGGGAACCGAACCCATGTCCCCTGCAAGAGTAGCAAATACTCTTTTTTTTTTTTTTTAAGCAATAATCACTTCTACATTTTGAAAACTATATTTCATAATATTTAATTATACTTGAGTATATGTCTTTGAAATTAGTGAAAATTTGTTTTGGACTTTAATACTGTTAAAATTACAAGATTAACTGAAAGTAGAGTACTTCAAGGTTTCCACAGAGGCAATGAATCTGTGTATTAATTTATTTAACAGCTTGCTATTAGTGCAGGAAAACGAAGCCTACATCTAGTGATTAAGTTCATGTATATAATAGTTTTTTTTCAGATTTCCTTTGTTCCAGACACTGAATATTTGGTCTTTTCTGGGCATGGAGGCGAAAGCAATTAATAAAGCCAGAAGCAGCTTTCAGGGAGCTTAAATTCTGGTGACAGAAAGCAATATTGAAAGTCAATGACAAGTAAAAACCTACAAAAGAACTACTGATAAACATCACAAAGGTACCAAAACAGAAGTACAGGCTAAATTTTTCAGCTTGAATGGTGACGTCATTTAGTTGTCACACATTTACCATGAACTTGTACATGCCAGACACTGTGATACACACTACGGAATACAAACACTGCTAACATAAGGTCTCTATTTGTGCATAGTTTGAGGACCTAGTAGAGACAAAGCATGGGTTTGGAGGCCAGCACCACTATGAATACCGCTGTAGACTCACGACTACTACGCACCACTCCCTTTAGCTATGCTAGACCCCAGCACACAAAACAGAAGCGCAACAGCTCCTGGAGAGCTGCAGAAAGGGTCTAAGAGGAGAAAGCATGAGCTCAGAATTTCAAAACGAACAGGAATGCCCCAGATGTCAAGGCAAAGTGGTGGAATTGGGCTTTACAGTAGAAGGAACATCCTTAAGACACACAGCGTGAATGGAAATGAATGGGTTACTCTTTCTTAAAATTTTTTGATTTACTTTTCACGTGTATGAGTCTTTTGCCTGCGTGTATAGAAGTGCAACACATGCCTGCAATGCCTGAAGAGGCCAGAAGAGGGCATCAGCTCCCCTGGAACTGTAGTTACTGATGGTTGTTAGCTATCCTGTGGGTGCTGGGAATGGAACCTGGGTCCTCCGCAAGAGCAGTAGGCACTCTTAAGCCATCTCTCCAGTCCCCTGAATGGTTTGCTCTTGCAAGAGTAGTATGTGACTGTGACTGTGAAACTGTGTGTGCAAATCATATACTGATACATAGTTTGGCCTGCAGGGGAAAATTGGTACAGAATTAGCCTAGAGGTATAGAGAAGACCTGCATGTAAGAAGCCTGTACATGACAATGTAATGACTGGAATCTTCTAATTCTGCATATTGGAATTTTATTTCAGGTTAAAAATGGGAAAAGATAGAATAATCAGTGAGAACGTCATAATACTTGGAGTTGAGGTCCAAAAGGAAATTAAAAATTATTATGTCAGTTTAATTATATTTTAGTATAGTCTTTCTTCAACAGTAAAGCTTTAACAATTTTTCCTAATTTCAATACTGCATAAACTCTTTAAAAATACTTTATTCTTATTTTATGTTGTATGAGTATTTTGCCTGCATGTATATAAGTATACCGCATGTGTGCAATACTCACAAAGGCCAGAAAAGGGGGTCGGAGCACCCCAGAACTGGAGCTTCAGATGGTTTTTGGCCATGTGGGTGGGTGCTGGGGCCCGAGTCTGGGTCCTCTACAAGAGTGGTCAGTGCTCTTAACCACTGAGCAATCTCTCCAGCCCCTTGTTTTCTTATCATGAAGATTAATGGCTGTTAATGCAAGTTAAACTTACCTTGTACACTTAAAGTATAGACTAAACAGTGATGCACTTGCCAATTTGGCTTAAGCAATATTTATTTTAATGAAGCTAAGTATAGGATCTTTCTGTTTTTAGACACAATCAAATCATTTTATTTTGACCTGCAATCACTGCACCTCCTGAGGTTCAATGAAAAATCTGTTTCAATATACAGGCTCAATTTTGAGTAATAAAAAGAAACAGAAAACAAAAAACAAAGCTTCTTGTCAGAGTGTGTGCATTCTTGTCTTAAATAATTGATTAGACTGAGTGTTGGCGTGTCTCCTCACCAGACTGGTTCCAGAGTCCACATTTAGTGGACGGTGTATGTGCATGCGTACACATGTATGTTTAGGTTTCTTTTGCCTTGACCAGAGCAAGGCATTGTGCAAGCAAGGCTGTCACCAAGCTCCCTCAGCTCTCCAAGTTTGTTCTTCTGTTTCTTTCCCTGCTGCCCCTGACCCAGAGAACATTCTGTCAGCCCTCAGGCCTGCAGATCTTGAAGCCCCTGCAGCCTTCTGTGACTCTGCATGCCACACTCCCATTTTTGGTGCCCACCTCGCAGCCTTGTCTTTTCACTGTGGTGTCTGTTGTAGAAATGACGACTGGTTCTATTGTGGCAAACTGTGTGGTTAGTGTAGGTAGCTCAACACCACCCACAGAGGCAGACTGCAGACGTCCTGCCCTAGTTGCCTTCCTTGAGAGAAAGTATAGGTGGAAGGTGCCTGGGGGCGGGTTGCCCGTCCTGGTGTCTTCCACCCCCGCATTCATGGTGCTGTCAGGACTGCGTGGTGTAAAGGTGACTAGGTGACTGTCCTGACCTAGGATTGCTCATTTTCGTTGGTCAGAATCTATTCACTTTGTCCACATTTTAGGTGCAGGTAATGATCCTTTAGTACCCTTTAGGGCACTTCAGTGACTTCTGACATCAGCATTCTGTCTACTTCCTAATGCCCCTTGATGGTGGAATTGTGCATGCTAAAGCGGGAATAGGGTAGGTACTGTTAGAAGGTTCTGGAAGCCCAGCCCTGGAAACATACTTAGATAGCCCATGGAATCTCTTTCTGGAAAACCATCGAACTGACAGTTATATCCAAAGTCATCCTTAAAATGAGTTTAAGCACATATTGAATTGCTTGTTTTGAATGAAGCCACTGAAAATTTTATGATGAAAACCAAAATTTATTAGCAAGATATTGGTCTTTCCAAAAAATTTTATGGAGTCAGAATCAGATGGTTGGTAAATATTTTATTTTTGTAAATTTTAACAGTTCAATTATTTCTAGAACTCATTGAATAACTCATTTTAACTGATGAATTATAGAACCAGTTTTTAATAGGAAAAGAAAATTAAAACGAGCGGGAAAGTTACTAATCCTTTCCGTTTCACGACGTGCTTGCCAACGGTGTGTGTTATATCTACTTCTTTTGCTTTCTTCTCCAGGTGATTGAAGACAGTACCGGAGTCCGCCGGGTGGTGGTCACACCCCAGTCCCCCGAGTGTTACCCTCCAAGCTACCCCTCAGCCATGTCTCCAACCCATCACCTACCCCCTTACCTGGCTCACCACCCACACTTCATTCAGAACTCACACACAGCTTACTACCCACCTGTCACGGTACCTGGAGACGTGCCGCCTCAGTTTTTCCCTCAGCATCACCTTCCTCCTACAATATACGGTGAGCAAGGTGAGTTGGTACCGCTGGAGTCAAGATCTGTTGAAACTGTCTGTGCTTCAAGAGCGTATGAGCCCCCTTTTGTCTCCTTAGAATTAAAGCAAAGTAGAAGGGCCCTAGTTGTTAGAAAACTCTGGAAATTCCTAGCTTTCTTGCCCTTGATTCTGCTTTGTTCATTCTCTGGGTCACAGCCCTTTCTTCCTCCACTGCCGCCACTGCCCCATGAAGAGCAAAGGGTAGGACCTCTCCTCTTTATTTTAGGGGTGAAGCAGCATCTGCCCTGTGTTCCTAGGCCTGTTCATGTGTTTATGTAGCAGAGGCCAAGCTGGGGCCTAGTGTATCTTTGGCGTTAACATAGTCTTTCAGTAGAAGGGGAATTGAAGTGATTTGTGCCCCATTTCAAATGTTAGAAGATTATGAAGACTCAATAACGTTTCAGTTTCTTGAAAGGTGCATCTTAGCAGAACCCAAAAATCCTTCTTCTGTTGACGTGGCCCTCCTGAAGCTGGTTTAGTTTGAGACTAGCCATCTCTTAACCACAATTGCACCAGCTGGCATGCAGATGCTTGTCTTGAAGGAAAATAGCCTCAGAGCTCCAAACACAATCTTTTTAAAGTTTTGACCTTAGTGTTGGCTTAGTCTGAAGCTCTCTTTTTGAATGGATGCTAAGAAACCAGATAAGGGAGACAAAAATTAGAATTCAACCTTTAGGACTTCACCAAACAATTTTTCTTATTCTGAATTGAAGCATTTTACTGCTTTAAACATTTATCATATTGGTTCAGAGAAATACCTCTTACATTACACTACAGAGTTTTGTTTTGTTTTTGTTTGTTCTTGGTTTTTGTCTGTTTTGTTTTATTTACAGAGACTCCGTACCCGGAGCACACCTGGAACTTACTATGTAGACTAGACTGGCCTGGATCTCACAGAGATCCACCTGCCTCTGCCTCCTGAGTGCTAGGATCAAAGGCATGTGACATTGCTACAGAGTTTTTAAACAAGTTATCATTGTGTGTTCTTTTATCAGCTCTCTTACCAGTTTTCTCCTCTCTATGCATGTAACACTGTCATTTTTTTCTTAGCAAAAGAAAAAAATTGACATGAGTATTTTAAATGAAATACTCTAGTGTTAAACAATAGAATTTGATTGTTTTGTTTTGTTTGTTTGGTTTGACAGTGAGGAGAAACTTAACATGATTTCATGACGGTGTGGGGAGGTCATAGGAAACATGATAAATAACACTGAAGGCACCAATCACTAATTTGATCTTTTGCCTTAGTGACATAAGTTAAAAAAATTAAAAAAAAAGAAAAAGAAACAAGTTTGATATGAAAACATTTAGAATAAAATTGCAAAACAATTTGTTAATGTAGTTTTGTTTTGTTTGAGATGGTTTCATTCTGTAGCCCAGAATCACCCTGAATTCATAGCAATCCCTCTACCTCTGCCAGCAAAGTGTTGAGATTGTAAGGATGCACCATCCCACTCAGTTCATTACCTTTTGAAGAGGTATTGAGTGCTTTGTCACAATCTGTAGTAAATATTTGAGAGTTTGTCAGAGTGTCTGGCTGCCTTGGACCGCACTGACATTCTGCAGAGCCTTGGCTACTGACTCACAGGCTGACGATACATGTCTGATGATGTGGCCTGCAGCCAGTCCGTAGTGCCTGGTAGTTACTCTTGTATAAATGATGGCCTTTGTAATCTTAGGCAAGGTGAAATTAAGATTTAAATGGTCCTTAGGATTAAGTGAGTAAACACTGCCCACTTTTCATTTTATAGTGCACTTTGATCTCATTTCATTAACACCTCTCAGCAATGCACAAATAACAAAAGTACCTTCTCCAATTTAAAACTAAAAATGGTAGTCAGACTAAATCCTCCCATTTCAGAAACATCTGGGATTATCTCCTGATTTTTCAGTGTGCGTACCTAATAGCAATTAAACATTGACTTCTAGAAACATGACTTTAGAAAATTCTCCACATGTCCTGAATGGGTTCATCTAGTAGTGTCCATGGTGACTTTTGTAGTTCTCAAGTGTAATGCTCTGAGCTGTTCAGAACATTTGCCGGCCATCTGACATACTTTGGCAGAGTTGATTTAAATATGAGCCCTCTAAATAGGGCTAGGCCTGTTCTCACACGTTCCCCTGGTTCGGCACTGACTGACTTGCGAAGAAGGGAAGAAGCTCTGTGGACAGAAAGAACAGTGGAGCCTTACCTCTGAACAGCTGAAACATTAAATTATGTGCAGTTCCCACGCATTCCTGGTTAGCCTGGGACAGACTGGTTCGGTCTCTTGTCCTGAGAAATTATGCTTACTTCTCTCTTTTTATGCCCACAAGTGTCATATAATTTATAGGATTAATCTATATTTGAGACATCCCTTTTTCTTGTAAAGATGTAAGGACCTAATATCTATGTTACATGTTGACTTTTTACTGATGCCTGAACATAACTTCTGAAAATTTACATTTAAAATGAAACATCTCCCTTAAGATCATAAGGGTATATTGCAAGTTCCTATTTCCTTTTTAGCCAGCTAGAAGTTTGCACAGTAAGTACTTACCTTTGCCTCCTTCCATTACTCCAAAGAAGTTTGCGGCCATAGCTTATTGTTGAGCGTCAGATTGAGGTGGCTCATCTTCCCCCCAAGCTTTCTCTTTGAACATTTCCCGTGGGTTTACGTCCTTAGTTACTTTTAATGACAGTCTGTCATTTTATTTTCTTTAATAATTTTCTTCAATTGTTGGTACTTTAGGGGGTAACAAAATAACTTTTATATCATGGTAACTCTGTACTTTCCAATAGAACTACTGTTGTATCTTTAAGAATACTCTTATGGGACTGAAGAGATGGCTCAGCAGTTAAGAGCACTGACTGCTCTTGCAGAGGACCCAGGTTCGATTCCCAGCACCCACATGGTGGCTACGAACCGTCCTTAACTCCAGTTCCAGAAGAATCTGAAGCCCTCTTCTGTCCTCCACGGCATTGCACGACACGGGTGCACTCACATACATGCAGGCAATACACTCATACACATAAAATAAATATAATAAATAAAATAGTTTTTTAAAAAGAATACACTTACAAATATACTTAAGAATAGACTTTAAGAATATGCTGGTAAATAATTTTGACTCTACACATTTAAAGGGTATTTTATTTGTTCTTTTATATATAATGTACCTGCTAACAGCATTTAGAAAGGCAAGATTAGAGTTAGTTATAAATTCACCCAGCCTATGAAGTCTTTGAGGATAACTTTGTCTTCGTTTTTGTCCGTAACTTATGGCTAATTTCTAAGCACAGCGCATTAGTTGGAAGGGAATACAAATACTCTAAACATATATGCTATATATAGCATTGTCTTGAAAGTGTGTTTTATAACGTGTGTGGTAATACTTTTTCTCCAGAGGTTGGGTTATTTGACTTTTGAGTCAGTTGTTATGGTAGACGTAAACTAAGCTTGTATTTGTCATAACCATTTTAGAAATCATCCCACTCTACGGAATGTCGAGCTACATCACCCGAGAAGACCAGTACAGCAAGCCACCACCACACAAAAAGCTGAAAGACCGCCAGATTGACCGCCAGAACCGCCTCAACAGCCCTCCTTCCTCCATCTACAAGAGCAACTGTGCCACTGTGTACAATGGCTACGGGAAAGGCCACAGCGGAGGGAGCGGTGGGGGCGGGGGCGGGGGCAGCGGCGGTGGGCCCGGGATCAAGAAGACGGAGCGGAGAGCAAGAAGCAGCCCGAAGTCCAACGATGCAGACTTGCAAGGTAATGCTGCAGGCGTTTGCCTACGGGGTGGACGAGGGTGGCCTGGGCATCCTGAGAGCATGGTTTTTCCCATGGGAGCGTTAATTCATGGTGGGTGGCTTTACTGCTGGGACTGGTTGGGTCAACCTTGCCTTTCTTACCTGTTTCTTAGGAAAAGCTGCTGTATCCTTTATTAATACTTACCTTTTCTCTTTCTCCTGCGTGCTATAATTTCCTGCTTCATCTCAGTCACCATATCTGAAATTGTTTTCACATTGGCCCACTTCTGTTGTTTCATGTTGTACTGAAAGATATGGAAGAAATCAAAAAAGAACCTTTTTTTCCAGCAAGCAGGGTTAATTTAAATCCTAAGTAATTATATCTCATGAAACCAGCTGTAAATATTTCCATGCTGTCCTGAGCTTGGTTGTGCATGGCAGGAGTATATTTATTGTTCAGCTTCGGGCATTGGGTGTCTGAGTGCTGTTTGGCATCCTACTGAATGTTTGACAGGCTGAAAATGTGATGGAGAATCAGACTCACCACATCCACATAGTTCGGAAGGGTGTATGTGCTTTTCAGATTAACGTTGTGGAGGTACATGTGGGTTTGTAGGGGAAGGCATACACATTTTAATGACGCTCTTAGGTTAAATTTAGAGGTTTTAGAAGAAAAACAGAGCTTTTTTTCCAAGACTTAGGGAAGACTAACATAAGTTAAAGAAGACAACATTTTGACAGCTATGGGAGTTTATAAATAAGAAAATGACTGGGAGCAAAGATGATCATCTATCAGAGACAAGAAAACTGATACGACACCCAGTCCTTTGTGTGTGTGTATGCATGGGTGCATGTGTCTGTCAGTGCACGTAGCCACCAGAGGAGGACATTGGTGTCCTGCTCTATCACTCTCTTCCCTGTTCCATTCAGACAGAGTCTCTGACTGAACCTGAGGAGGACACTGAGTGTCCTGCTCTATCACTCTCTGCCTTGTGCCATTCAGACAGTCTCTGACTGAACCTGGAGTTTGCCGGCAGCTGCCAGCCCAGTGATGCCCATTTCCACTCCTTCATGCTTGCTGGCAAGCACTCTTATCCACTAAGTGTCTCTCCAGTTCTGCGTCTTCCTTATTATAACGCATCAAAGTCGAGATGGACTGTGGCTGTTACCACATTTGTGAGAGAAAAGGACGGGAGTGTGTTTTCTTGACTCTAGAAGACTGGCCTCTGACAAAAGGAGGAAAGCCTAGTAAAACCCATCCTTGGCCTAATTTCATTTGGGGCCAAGAGAAAAGGTGTGGTGAGATCAGTAGGTCGTGAGGGCTTTGTAGATTCTTTTAAATCTTGTTCTTCACTGTTTTTTTTTTTTTTTCATCTTCTTTCATGCAGTTCCATATCCTTAAAATTCTTTTAACAAAACTTAAACTGGGATCATCTGAAAGAAAGAGACTCAGAGTTCAGGAAGTCTTTTAAATGACTCATGAGCAAAGGTGCTATGTCTGGAATATAAAATGTTTTTTCTCTGAGCTGCAGGTCCTGCTGTGTTACCCAGGCTAGTCTTGAACTCTCCAAGGCACAATCTTCCCACCTTATTGACCCAGGTAGTGGGGATTACAGGCTCATACCATTGTGTTAATATAATTTTTGTCAAATCACACTATGGTTTCTAAGTTTAGAATATGTTTTATTATTTGAAAATATTTTACATCTTAAAAATCCAGCATGGACTGAGGAGGTAGGCAAGGAGCCCCAGCCATAGGTGAGGAACTCTTGGCAATTGATAGCTGCTGGGAGAGGGAGAGTCAGTTTTTACTGGTGTGATGCCTGCTAGGTTGACCAGACTCCAAGGGACAGACCCGCCCCCAAGAACATTTGGGAAACACAGATTAGACTCAATAGACCTTTAAAAGAAACCAAAAAGGGAAAATAATAATAAAAAGAAGACATGAAAGCAGAAGGCAGTGCAGAGAGGGAGGGGCTTGAAGGTGATCAGAGTACGTTGAATTCTCAAATCAGTAAAAATAAAAAATTTTTTTTGGTCTTTTTGAGACAGGGTCTCCCTGTAGCCCCAGCTGTCCTGGAACTCACTATGTAGACCAGGCTGGCCTGAACTCACAGAGATGTGCCTGCCTCTGCCTCCCGAGTGCTAGGATCAAAGGCGTGCACCACCATGCTTGGCAAAAATATTTTTTAAATAGAAGAAAAACTTCTTTATCTTGATGGACACATCATTTGCACATGCTTATAGATGATGTGTCATATTTATTCATGTAGAATAATGGGTATTTAACAGTGTTCAAGTTCAACATAGGTATGTAAGAAAATTCACATGTACAAATTAGGAATAAATTGTTGAAAGGAGAATTTTCATCCAAAGAAATATGAAAAAGTATGTTTAAGTTGTCCATATTTAAGGCAGATGACATAGAGCCTTGCAGCTGAAGCAGATATACTCAATTTAAGTGAAAGATCGGGGCGCACAGATAATAAGGGAAGGCCGAGCCGATGGGTCAGTATTGAAGTCACCACCAGAATTACCGCAGCTCAAGATTTATTTTGTAAATTCCTTTTGTCTGTGCACAGTTTTTGCATCTGCATGTGCCTCAGCATTCTCTCCAACCTACACTTTAACATCTTACAGTTGTAGAAGAGCCGGCCTTGCACTGACACCTGTATGGAAATATTTGGTGACATAGCCAGGTCTGCAAGCATTTTCATATTTTACCTTATGTGAGAGGCAGTGTGTACAGCGATTTGGGGAAGCATAAGCACTTGGCTCTTGTGCAGAAAACACATTATTTTGTTAGGTAATGGTGACCTCACAGGTGCTCTAGACTTCAAGGACCCCGTGTTTGACGAGGCCACGGGGAAGGCCGAGACCAACCTGAGCTCGGCCCGTCCACCCTTTTCTCATTTCTTCTGTTTTTGCTTCTCAGAAGCACTCAGTCCCTCTCCTCATGTGGTTTATCCATAAAATAATCAGATGGGGGCTGGCGAGACGGCTCAGCCAAATAACTCAGCCATGAGCATCTTAGCTCATTCTTCGACTCACAGCACCACCTGACATATTAAACTACAGTTAACACTGTTATGATTTCCATGTGTGGTCTGCTGAAGACTTGGAAGTGCCCTTAACCCTGGCATGTAGCCTGTGGTCTCTTTCCTTACCCTGCTTCTGTTATGTCACCTGCGTTTTTGGAGGAGACCAATGCCTTTGTTTCATAATTACCTCATCTTTTCCTGGAGTCTTCTGTAGGTAACCTACCTGTTCACTGCTTACAGTGAACAGATGCTTTTAATGGGATGGGTAGAGACTGGGGATGTAGCTCCCTGTGTGTGCTTGCCTAGCATGCTCAGACCCTAGGGTCAATCTCTAGAACCAAAAGGAGAAGATGAGGGGAAGAGTAAACTTTAAATTTGCACCTGGACTTAATGATAAAACTAAGTACCCCTGGGCTGGAGAGGTGGCTCAGTGGTTAGGAACACTGGCTGTTCTTGCAGAAGACCCAGGTTCGAATCCTAGCACCCACATGGCAGCTAACAACTGTCTGTAACTCCAGTTCCAGGGGATCTCTTCTGTCCTCTACGGGCATTGCACGACATGGGTGCAGGCAATACACACATACACATAAAAATAAATAAAATATTTAAAAAAACAAAACAAACCAAGTACTCTTTTAAAAAGTAAGAAGCGGATGCTGATGTAAAAAGATGTACTAAAGGGACGGAGGTGAATTGATGGCCCTTTTCTTGAGTCCTAATTCTCTGTTAACTGTTTCAGAAAAACAGCTGGGACTTCTAACCCGAGATGCCCGGACCTCATTTCAGAGCTGTGAAATCAAAATCTTATCAATGATTTTCTCGTCTTGACCTTTTTTTGTTTTAGTCAATCCTCCATTGGGATACTAGTCAAGACAAAAGGCAGCTATTGTAAGGTTAAGGATGGCTCTTGTGAACATAGCAGTCACACATTGTGTATGGTGTAAGGTGGCATCTTTGTTTCATAGACCACCACGTCCCAGTACTGTGCTCCGCACATAGTAGGTACTCCCTATATGTTCACACTTGTAAAATGAGCCCTGAGTTAATGGCTTTGTTTTCCAGAGCAAGCTTTCTCTCTGAACACATGCAGCCTCCCTCCCTGTTTCCTCTTCCTGGAACAAATTGCTACATTACTCAAGGAGCTCACCCTTCAGGAAAACAGCTCTGTATGCCAAAACCCATCATCCCTCAGAGACGGACAGAATTCCTGTCTCCTTGCAGTCTCTTGGAACTCATGGTATGACTTGGGCAGAGAACAGCTCGGACTTTGATGTCAGACATGCTTGGTTCGAATAAGGCATTGTTACTTACTAATTTGTCTGTACCCTCATCTGTACAGTGATTTGTACTTCTGTGCAATTTTTTGTACAGTGTACAATAAAAATTACAATATTTTAATTCCCCTGATTAAATATTAAAAAATAAAGGCCAGCAGTGGTGACACGCACCTCGAATCCCAGCACTCAGGAGGCAGAGGCAGAGGCAGGCGGATCTCTGTGAGATCAAGGCCAGCCTGGCATGGTCTACATAGCAAGTTCCAGGCCAGCTGGTGTACATAGTGAGACCCTGTCTCAAAAATCCAAAAGAAAAAAATTTGGGGGGTCTTTTTGAGAAAGGATTTCCCTGTAGTCTCAGCTGGAACTCGCTATGTGGACCAGGCTGGCCTTGAACTCACAGAGATCCACCTGCCTCTGCCTCCCAAGTGCTGGGATTAAAGGCCTGTGCCACCAGCCCTGGCATTCAAAGGAAAATTTTAAAAAATTAAAAATAGCCTAGCTCAGTTTTACACCGTGCTGTCCTGGTTGTCCGCAGTGCATGAGTATTCTTTGTTCTCTCTTGCTTGGGACTCTTGGCATAAGCTCACCTCTCCTGAAAGCGTTTTCTCTGCTACCTTTTCCTCTCTCTCACCCCTCCAATTCCTGATCCTCCTGTCCACCTCTCAAGTGCTAGGATTACAAATAGGCACTGCTGCTCCTGGTCT